GGTTTCAACTTCCAATGTCCTTTGCTAATCTCTTTGAACAGGGAGAAATGTGTACCCACCGAGGGGCTTTCCACCTTACCTTCCCCCAAGAGCTGAGTTTTCTTCCTCACCCCCACATCCTGAAAGCAGACATGAGCTCCCTCCAGACTTGATTTCACCTTCAAAAGAACCTGCAGAGGAACTTCAGAAACCTAAGAGAAGTCGGGTGTCATTTTCTTCCCATATTGAGTTTATATAACTCCTATTACCCATGCAATTATTTTTTGCTCAAATGGAAGCTTAAGGGAATTATAATTCTTAGGATAGTATTTTGTAAATAAATATGATTTAAATATGAATCTCATGAGTAAGTTATTTCCATTTTATTTTATTCTGAATAGTATATTTTACTTTGATTACCTCATCCATAATTATGGTAGTTTTATATATGTACTCTTATAGTTGGGGATATCTTTTTTTTTTTATGCCGAATGCCGTTTATTGAAGGAGAGAGGAGGTCTTAAATACAGGCCTACAGCACAATGGGAGAACCCTGGAGGGCAGAAGTTCACTATAGATGTTTTACAATCTTGCATCTAAGCTGTTAATGTCCATTGTGCAGGATACATAGATAAGGAACTTCCCTTAAGCATTCAGGAGGGTGAAACCCGGGAGGGAATTAGCATAGGGAGGATATCAAGGTCAAGGTCAGCAAGCAAGGCAACAGTTATCCAAAACGGGGGCCAGGGACTTACATGTCCCCCTTTTACTAATAAATGAGATTCTGATTTAGGTTGCACGGGATGTCAGCAGGTCACCTTACCCGTCATGGAGATGCCTGCCCAGGCCACACAGGTGCTGTCTTAGGTTGGTGAGCGGCCCCTCTCCCCAGGCATTACCCGTCTCTGAATACTCATTATCATACTCGCTCAATTGTGTGTGAGCTGCAGAGTTAACTGCTGCCAAAGATCTCAAAGTGGCATTGGGCTTGCAATCTGTGCGACAGAGAAAAGACCAACAGAAGTCCTAACCTACCCATAGCCAGTAGGCTAAAGGCAACTGAGCCATTCCCTTCCTTAACGAGGATTACTGCAAACTGGAGTCCTTGTAAGATGGTATCCCAAAAGCAAATTATGGTAGTTTTATGTATGTAATCTTATAGTTGGGGATATCTTAACCTCAAAAGGCTGTGTCTTTATACCAGGAATGTGTTCACCGTGGTTGTAGACAAATGTAAAAGTAACTTTATGTATAATGAAATAAATTTTAATTGATTTAAAGTCTTGTTTGGCATTGCTAATAATAAAACCAGCCAGTTTCACATAAACATGGTTCCATAAATTAGTCTTTTTACCTGTAGCAATAATTCAGTGATTCAAAAGTCAAGCAGTTGGGGCTGCAGAGACGGTGGCTCAGTGGTTAAGAGTACTGGCTGCTCTTCCAGAGGACTTGGGTTTGGTTCCCAGAATCCACATGGCAGTCCCAAGCCTCTGTAACTCCAGCTCCAGGGAATCCAATGGCCTCTTCTGGCCTCCAGATGCACCAGGCATGCATGTAATGCACAGACATGCATGTAGACAAAACATCTGCACACATAAAATTATATTTTAAGAAAAGATAAAGCATTTTGTGGTCTTATAAAATATGTATCCTATATCTTGTAGTTAGATATGAATGCCCAAAATAAATTAATAAACTTTAAAAAGTTAAATATGGATTACATTTTAATATGTGTATCTACTGTACTATCAGGACTCAGGAGTTCAAGGCCTGAGTAGTCTACAGAGTGCATTCCACAACAGCCAGAGCTGTTACACAGAGAACCCCCACACATCCTCTCAAAAAAAAAAAAAAAAAAAAAGAATTTCAAAGATTTCTATGGTGTAGTGTGGGCAGATATTTCTTTGGGCTGCCTGCTTACCAATAATGACACAGAAACTTCTTACTAAAATTGTGAACGCTTGGCTAACAGCTTAGGCTTGTGGTTTAGCTAGCTCTTATAACTTAAATGAACCCGTTTCTATTAATCTAAGGGCTGCCACATTGCTCGTAGCTTGTTACCTCATCTCCTACATGACCTTCCTCTGCATCTCCT